TCCCAGTCTCTTACCCGTTTTAGGATTTTGGATTTTTTTTAGGCCTTAGATATCGAAGTGTTACCAAGGAACATACCTCCTGGCAGATCTTTGGGATCCTGATGGCCAGCTGAGAATCAGTGTACATTCTAAGTGTCTGTCAACTCAGCAGAACTACATGGGACTCACTGAGCATCTGGCACTGGAGAACACTGCTGTCTCTAAGGCAGTCGTGTTTATGGACACCATTTTTGCAATTGCTATTTTTTGTGCTTCTGCAGTTTGCTCATCTTCTAAATGCAGCATAACCAATTAAAACAGGCTGTCCTAAGAGGTACAGAGTTCAGCACACTGTTGTGAGTAATACAGAGTCAGGGCTTCCCCCTTGTGACAGTACACACAGGAGTTCGCTGAAAGGTTCACATAGACTATGGGTCTCTGCAGTCCCTGTGTGTGCTCTCTCATTTCACATAGGCTACCTCTCCTAAGACCTGAACTCCTGAAAGGGAGTCCCCTTGTCCTCACCCAGTACCAGGCTTTTTTGAAGGCCTCGTACACTCTGCACCTACCCACTTGAGCAGTTTCTTCACTGTCATAGAGTCACCTTGGGTCTGAGGCCTGCATCAATTAATTTAACCCTCACTCCCACCCCCATCCTAGGATTCCCTCTCAGCCTCTCACCTGCACTGAGTTCCCCTATGCTGTCTCATGCCTCCCCCCACCTTCCTAGCCTGCTGGCCCTGAGGACCACTTCACTACTCAGCTCCACCAGTGAGCACAACCCAGAGAAACACCACACACTGGTACTCCCAAGCCTACCAGCTCACCTTTCACCTCAGTTCAGACTGTGTGCTCACACATAGGGAGTGCTCCCTGGAAGCCATGTGGCTGCTCAGTACAGTCGTGCCTTCACTTGTCCAGGTGAGGATGCACTTGCTGTCAGTGCAGGTGTACAACCCCCCCCAGCTGGCTAGAGAAAGCTATGGGCTCTCTTTACCCAGTGGTACACCCCAGACCTGGCACTTCTTGGCTTGAAGCTGGCCCACATCCAGCTCTTGGCCTCCATTTAGGTTAGGTGGCCAATGTCTGAGGGGACCCATTACTCCAGGGATCTTAGCAGCTCTCCATGTGCTTTCCAGGTGAACTGGCTGTGGCCCTGGCAGCACTTCAAAAAAGGGCTGAGGGGTACTTCAGTGGGCAGAAAAGCTACTTGAAACCAGCTGAGTGTGACAGATGCTGCCCCTGCACTGCTGCCCTTTGGTGCCACAGGCAGAGCTAACCACCATGTCTGAAGCCACATTCACCAGTTCCACAAATCTTCTGGTACAGCATGGAGTCTGGGTGCCAGAAATGTGTTTTGATCTGGGGGGAAAAGAGGCACAGGGCAGTCTTCTATCTAAAGGAGTAAGGGAGTGAAGGGAAGAGCCCAAAGTCATGAAACTGAAGCCACAAAACCATAGCTCTCCAGAGTTTTTTGTGCATTAAAACTTGTGATCAGCATGTTTGCAAGAATGGGCATAAAGTGCATAGCAACTTATCTTGAGGAGGAATATATTGTAGAAGGATGTTAATGTCTTAAGACATGAGATCTTTATTAGGCTGATTAGGACAAAAAAGTTTTTGAAAGTGCATGGTAAGAAAAGTCAGGCCGTGGCCAGTTAGTATTATAAACAGTTTTACTAATGACTTTAAGAAGTAATATGTTGCGCTAACCTCGTAAGCCTAACTAGAAATCCCAAAATAAACTATTGTCTCGTCCTTTTATTTTGCCTTTGCGGCTGGTACAAAATGCAACTTGAAGTGTTTTTGCTTTTTATTTAAATAAGTTGGCTTGTTCTCTATTTCACAATGATTCTGAGCGAGCTGTGGTTAATTGATATGGGCAATTTATGGTTGTCATACCTCCCCTCCTCCACAGAAACTCAATTACCAGCAGTATCCTTGATAAAATGTTTGTGAAGGATAATACATTTGAAGTCAAGTGTTATCTGCTAATTGACAGGATGGTTTCAATAATGTAACCTTATCTTAGGTAAATAAACTTCTAAGAAAGCCTTAAGCCACAAAGGGCAAATGAGATGTTTGAGATTCCTTTTTGCTGCAGGTCTTGTTTTGATGGTGTGTTTCAATAGCAAAGGCTAAATGTGAAAGAGAATCTAAGAGACAAAAGAGAGACTCAGTTTCTTCTGCTTATATTTGTTCTTAACTCAGGATCTTGAGAGGATATTTAATTACTGTTGAAAAATTGGAAAAAAAAATTATCACTTGTTTGAAAGCAAATAATAACATTTACTGGCTCTAGTATTTTTTTCTTTAGATTTTTGTTTAGATTTCTGATTTCGTTTTTTCTCTGTAACACAAAATTCACAAATCAGACAAAATTAGGGTTTTTAACATGCAATGCAGTGTTCAATTAAAATAGCAGATCAAAGGTAGCAATACTACACACTGACTGTGAGACAGTCATGACTGAGAAAAGTGAGAAAGAATGTGGTGCAGTCCCAGTGGATGAGGAGGATGGAGGAAAGTTCGGGCCCAGTTTGCAGAGGCTGAGAAGTGAATGAGCCAGCCCTGGAAACAGACTGCAAACTTGAGTCTGTTTCTGATCACTATTCAAGGACAATAGAGTGCACTGACTCTATTAAGTGCATTGCACTTCTGTACAATGATTTGCTTTGTAAGCATAATTGACCTCAAAGCAACTGTGGTAATAAGAACTTAAAATTCACTCTCAATTTAACTTTGTCTCCTGAAATTCCAGCTAAGTTGGAATAAGAGTCTATGTACTTCCACAGAGATACAGCTGGAAGACCCTCCCACACATGCAGAACTGTTACCTCATCTTACTTGTACATGAAGTATTACTCAATACCAGTCTGTCTTCAAGGGAAGAGAGGTTTTTAGTCCTACACACAAGACTGATTCTCATTACAAAAGATAAATAATATTAGGATGGGATTTCAAACAATAATGACAAATGATTTTGTTATGTTATAAACACTGTAAAAACACAAGTACAGCTCAAAAGAGTTTGAGTCAAAAGGTAGATGAGGAGGGAGGAGTGAGTTAAAAAACTGCACTGACTGTAAAATGTTTAGCTTTGAAGAAATTCTAAGATCCATGTCTTAGCCTTTACCAGCCAGGACAAATCTGATCCCTCTGGGTGGTCATAGCAACCAGAGCTTGGAGCTCTCTCTGGCTGAGCATTCACTTTTAGCTTCCAAAATACTTCTTTTGCTATCTGAAGCTGTGATCTGATGGATCCATTCCAAACAGGATTACTAAATAAGTGAGGTTAAACAATTATAATAGATCTTCTCTGAAAAAGTCTTACAGCTAGCTTATAAAGATGGCATCTTCTCACTCTTACTGCAGAAATGCATGTTTATAGCCTTTCAAGGTCATATTTCAGTTATTTCCTGACTGGCAGCTACACAGCCTGTGATGACCATAAACTATTTGACCCACAGCCTATCAGGATCAACAAAATGTCAGTCATGTGCAGAAACAGACAAAAATAAATGATGTGTTGTGCTCAGGTGATAGGCCACCTTAAGGGACACGGTACCTTTCAGTGCACACCATGCTGCATTCTGAGTGGCTCTCTTTCCTAAACTGGACATGAACTCTCCTTTTAGCTGGGTCAGATATACTTGGGAAGCTATCGAGTCCCTAGATGTAGTGAACCTTGTTATGTGTCCAACTCAGCCCTTATAAATCCATTTGGGATTCCATCCTAATTACTGCATGCAAATGCTCTTACACCAGTCTGTCTAGGACAAAGATCGGAGAGACCACACAGATGCAATGATCCATCCTTTCCACCTCATTGTTGTTTGTGGTGAAGGGAAGACAGCCAAATAAGGCGTCACTTCTCATAGAATGACAGCCTCAGCTTAGTAATGGCTTTCTCTTAAGACTCTCAGATTGATGACTGACTGACTCCAGATGAGACTCACAGGATTCATCCAAAGTCTTCTGGAGTAGAAGTCCTCAAGAGTCCTGGATATTAGTTCCTAGTAAGAAAGAAAGAAAGAAAGAAAGAAAGAAAGAAAGAAGGAAAGAAGGAAGGAAGGAAGGAAGGAAGGAAGGAAGAAAGGAAGGAAGGAAGGAAGGAAGGAAGGAAGGAAGGAAGGAAGGAAGGAAGGAAATTTAAAAAAATAAAAAAATAAAAAAGGTCAGCTAAACAATCAAGGGCTGTTCAGCATTTTAGAGAGGGTATTTAAAAGTCTTTCTAAGAGATCAAATAGAATTAGGGATTTTATTAATGAAGGAACAATTGTGGGAGATAGAAGGGAAATCCAAGGGAGGCTAAGCAGAACCTCAGGTAAAAATGGTATCTAATGAAAGATGGCCTCTACAAGAAATAAAATACAGTAAAAGAGCGTAACAGAGAATTGTAATAGCAGGATTGGCTCTAGAATGAAGTTTTTGATGTAGCAATAGTGCACTTAAGAAGACTGAAAGGAGCTTTGTGTGCTAGGAACTATGTAGTCAGCTTAGATGATGTTAGGCAGAAGGTAGCAGAAGTAGAAAAAGAGAGGGAAACACAAGAGCATATTTTCAATGTATGCAGCTTCTTGTGGTAATCCAAAACACAATTGCTCCAGAGGGAAAGAATACTAAAAACTGAACAGTGGAAAGACTATGAGGTAATAATTTGTAGTGTGAATGGATATGGGTGATGTTAGCCATTTTGGAATCACAAGGAAACTATTATTATGCCAATTTACTAAGACTATTCCATCTTTTATTTATGAACTGAAAGGCAATAATACTACTTGATAGTAGATAGAAATATTGGTACCTTTGAAATATGCAGTTTTTTTTTTTTGAATCCTCATTAGTAAACAATAAATTAAAAAAAAAAAAAAAAGCCAATATTATCAAATGCCTTGTCAAAACATTTATGTTTCCATAATTCCTTTTGCCTCTAACTCATACTAAGAGGAATTATTTCAATGAAAACAAAAGGTATTCTAGAGAAACAGAAAATATTCTACAGGACTTTATCACAGATTTCAATACAGGATATTTTAATGGCATCACGTAAGAAAAAGAAGCATCTCTCAACAACAATAACCTAAGCACCAAGTCCTCTGAAATGACTTTGTTCCCTATATTTATGGTTTCTGATAAACTTCAGATAAAACCTTACAAGCTCAATGCAAGAAGGACATTTTATTGTTATTGTTGACTGACTGGTAATGAAATAATTCCAAGAAGTACAGGATATTTTACTGCCATTAATCTCATTCTTGATCTACATTTATTGCTTAGGCTAAAATATTATTTAATAATGTACACAATCATATTCTTGACTTTGCCTTACTCTTTTGCTTACGAATGACAAACTGCTGAATGACAGAATTCTGACATAATGTATAGATGAAAGAAAATATCTCGTATATATTTTCTGATGCATTTGATGAAGCAAACATTAAGCTTACAGAATTCTAACAATTGCAAGTCAGACAACAGTACCATGGGTATCATTCTTAAAAGCTGCAGTTTTATTTTACTAAATTGTCTATGTTAAAAACAAATCTGTGCCTGGTGTGGAATTTCACTGCATCAAGTGTTACAATATTTTTGTTTTCATTAAAAGCAGAAGATTGCATGTACAACAAGTGTTAAGAAACATGACAATAAATTAGAATATAATTTACAAAAAGCAAAAAATAATAATAATAAAGTAACAGTGTACCACATTAATACTGAGTATAAAATAATAAGCAACTAATCACAATAATACAAAGGTAATTTCAGTCTGTATTATTAAGGATATCTATGTAACATTCACTCCATTACAAAGTTCCTAACAAAATGGCCTATTTTGGGGTGTACACACCTTAAGGGGTTAATCTGTAGATTTTTCTTTGTTTTGATCTTCTTCATCTGATAGAATTGCTCAGTGAAAGTACTGGCACCAGACTGATTTCTGTATTTAATGTTCTACTATTTGATTCTAGGCCTGTCATATTTATAGCCTATACAAATAGTCCTATTGTCACTATTTAGGAATATAACACTATTTAGCTTAGATTACGTAGTTGGCTACAGCGTAGCAGCAGCAATGAACTGTGCTGTGGAAACCAATTGTTTTTCTTTGAATTTGTCTGAAGTGTTGCTTAGTTTTTGTAAATCCACATACATTCTGTTTTGTTCCCTTTAACAATACAATACAATGTTGCTCCAGGGAGTTCTTTAAATTACAGCCTCAGAGCTGTTACATTGAGTAAACATGGGACTCCCTAGTGTTCTAGCACCAGTAAGAGAGCAAAATGTGTCTTTGGAAACACTCCTTACCATTTTCATGTCCTAGGTGAGGTAAAAAATATATATATAAAAAACCCTTTTCTTGTTAACTGAAAAGACACATTATCTGATAAACACAATCATGCCCTGGAGAAAACCGGACCCTGATACAGAGAGGCCTCTTGCTTAGAGGATGCCATAGCAATGCCTTTCCCTTTTATTGTATTTTGACTTAACCAGGGCATGCTAGCACCAAGGTGTTTTGTCAAAAGAACATAGAAAGTTGATTCACTTAACTGAGAAGGACTACAAACTGCCTCTATTCCATATGTGCAACTCCCAAAGGCTGTTTACTGGTGTCAGTTTTAACAGGAGTTGTTTACATAGTGATGAGAGCAGTAGATAAGCATACATGAATAAAGGCAAGCCAACTGAAAAAGAGTTCCACTGGTCACAGGCATAACAAAATGAAAATACTGGCAAGAGGTAGCAGATGACAAATTTTTGATGGTAATGAATATGTGGATTACACAAAACCCCACTGAGAGATTGTCAGTATATTAGGGTGATTCATAGAACAAATCCTCTTAATAGTATCTACTTCTCCATGTTAATTCACATTAGTAAATACTGTGCAACACTTTTGGCTTGTTATTGGTAAAATACACTGATACACTTCAATCTCATCATATTCTGAAATTATTTTTCACTGAAAAGTGTACTTGTTTTTAAAAAGTGCTATTTGAGTTAGAATTTGTAACGCGTTATTGTTCATATAATTTTAATTGCACTACAACAAAGGAGACATAGTTGGACACAAAAAGCACATTCATCAAGTACCTGCTGCAAACTGCAAGTGTTCAAGTACAACATATTAATATAAACTAGTACCCACTTTTCTTATCTCCTTGTTGAGTCTGTAACTGAGAAGTGAAGGGGAAGAAGAGTATGACATTTTGCTCTTCAATGGTAGATTTCTGAATATGAATTTACTAAGTAGTTTGGTTTCACATTTAAAAATGTAAGGTAATTGGTGAATATTAAAATTATGTTAATATGAAGTAAGTGGATTATGGCAGCAGAATAATTGAAATAGTTAAAATCATATGGAATCTAGCTACTAATCCAGAGACTGGATTTTCTTCCAATCTCATACTGAAAGCTGCCTCAAGCTTTAAATATGATCCAGCTTGAAATGTGTACTTGGCCATTCAGGTCAAGGTGGCCAGACTTATTTCTAGCCACCCCTTTTCCAGTGTGCCTTACCCCTATTAGCCTGGCATGTACCCCAGCTCAAGCACATTCCTGACTTCTCATTTTAACAGAATCTATATATCCCCACAAGTCTTTGGTTGTAACCTTGTCTACTATGATATGGTCTCCTGAACAGCAGACTCACATATTCTTCCTCATAAACAAATACCCTTCCATTACAGTATCAAAGAAGGGAACATCTGGAATCCATTTAACTTTCAGCTTTGCAAAGGATCGTTGTTATTACACAGTAGGCTTATCTTTCACACTGATACTTCTTGGTCTTGGAGAATCAAAAGTAACATATAAAACAGATCTGGATGCCCACTAAATTGTTTCTTCTTTGTGGATAGTGATGTAAACAAAAGTGCACTGGAGTCAAAGTCTTACATTCTAAGCAAGCTGTACAGTAGTAGTGAAAGAGCTAGCAATACAGCCTTCACTACTATTGGAGTCTGCCTCCCCCATGGAATTGAAATATATTCCCTTTTAGTGGACAACTTGGTTTCACTTGTACAAAGGTTATAAAACTGCAATGCAGATTTCATTTCATTTCATAGCATACTTGTACTTCATGCACCACTGCAATAACTGTTGCACCTTTTAAAATAAAGTCCCTCATGGTTGTTCTACTGAGTATAGCTTTATATGTGGCTCACAGCAGTGTTCAGGAAATATGGATTACTCCAAAGGGAATTAGATGGAATGAAGGAAAAATACATATTTTTTTTTTTTTTTAAATTTCTGCTCCTTAAATAACATTTCCAAACTCATTCTATAATTTAAATTGTGGTGCTGTGTCATGAGATAAAATATTTTTCATTTTTAAGCTATGACTTAACTTTTTTTTTGATTCTTCTTTACTTCCATAGTAGACCAAGTCATAACAGCTACATTTTAAACAGTTTTAAATACAAATGGATTCAGTGTCATTGCTAAGTCCATAATAAAAATTATTTTAATGGTCCAAGGAGGTAAACAGACTATTGGATTGAGTCAAAAGAACACAAATGTTCCACAGTAAGCTATTCTATATGTGTTATGTGGATCTTTCCAATTTGGCATGCCCTCCTTATACTGTGTCCAGCACTTTGGATGAATAAATCCCACTTCACAGAAGTTAAAATAATATTGAAATCCTGTCAGCTGGGGCTGACCAGTGGTTACGTTTTCCACAGGGTAATGCATTTCCAAGGACGTCAATCTTATTCCGCTGTGTGGCTCTCTTCAATAGACACTCTTCCACAATGATAATAACAAGGCACATTCTCATGCTTTCTGTGGGTCAGTGTCCTTGGCAGGTCTTGCAGCACATCTGTCTGAAGTATGCACGACTGCAGAACTTGAACTTCAGCACCAGTGGGCAATATGCCACTTTGTTCACATCTTTGCACTCTAATAATTAAAAGCATCAAAGATTAAAAAAAGAAAAAAAAAATTAGAAATAAAGAGAATTTGAGATTTAATCACATTTCTGCTCTATCCATCCTCCCTGCTATACTTTTCCTTATCCAGTGTACTACACAAACCATGTATTTTATAAAGCCATAAAAACATTTGCAGGGCTTATCTCCAGGCATACAGAAGTGTGCCCATTTTGTCTTGAAAGAATTACCATTTATTGGGATAAGTAAGTAACCATCCTAGGCAGGTAGGAAATATGAGTCATTCTTCTCACAATACTTTTACAGCTTCTTTCTCAGGAGTTACTTTATTCATCCATCAGAGGTTATCCAAACTCTAACATGCAATATTTGGTACCATGCCTGTGAATTTGTAAGAAGCCTTGAAATATTATACGCATAGCAGTGAACAGGGATGGGGAAAGCAATGAGTGTTACGAATAATGGCGCAAACAGCATGAGTTCAGTGACTTGACTGAATTTTGGATTATACTCTAGGCTTGGTTCCACACATCCACACTTTCTTTCACACAAAAGTCATTTTAAGGCCTATAATAGACAAGTAATAGTTTTTTTAATACTTGCATTTTCCCTGTAAGCTGGGCTTATTGCCTCTGCAGCTACAGTGGCAGGTAACTTTCCCAGGAAGAGAAGAAGAATTCTGTCTGCCTCAGGGGGGAAGGATTCCTGCATTTCCATCCTATACAAGTGGTGTAAAGTGACCTGTCATGTTACATTACTTGAGCAATGTTGGAATATACCATGCTTTTCCTTTGGCCCGATTTCCTTTCTGTAGAAAGAAGGTGGTAATAGGGAACAGTATGGTTTGGTCTATGTCCAGTTCTTACTCTGATATAGCTGGAGATATGGCTTAATCTGAGAGCTCTGTGGTACATTAAGGTTATACAGCTGAAATGTTGCTACTGCAATCTACTGCAAATTTGCACTACAATGAAGAAGTAAATGTTGTGGTAGAAGTCTGAGACAGGATTTGTATCTCCAGTTAAAAGCTTTTGCATATAGTCTTCCAGACTGACTTTGGCAAAAGCTTTATTTCATAGGTAGGAAGATGGAAGAGATGTATAATGAGAAAAAGCAAAACCCACAAGTTAAAGTTGCAAAAATGATGTGGAAAGAATGAAATTAGATGAATTTATCAGAAAATAATTTATCTCAAAAAACACTGTAATTTTGCATTTGATACTGGTTTCCCTTTGCAACATTTCTCAAATTACAACAGCTATGAATACATGAATAAAAAGGAGAGGGCCTAGAGTATTTTAACCATTTCCATATTTTGTACTGATTTGGTATCTAGAAGTAAGACTGGGGGGCAGGATTCTCTTGTTACAAGGCCTAACAGAACAAAAGTCTTTGATTCCCAGGTGTCTGCAAGCAAAGTATGAAAAAGACAACATCCAGCCACACCAAACAGGTGGGAAAACCAAAAAGTAGTAGTGACAGAAACCCAATCAGGATGTACAATCCTTCAGTTATTCCCATTTTTTTTCCTTCTATGTACATATTTCACATCTAAAAAGACAGTGTTAAGATGAGAATTTTTAGTATTTGAACCTAGGAAAACCTAAGTGAGTCTGAACTTAAGGGAACTGAATGATATTTCTTATGGAATGGAATACTGAATGGTATTTCTTATCATGGCAATATGCATGCTTTTAGCTAGACAAGTAGAGGCATGGAATGATTTAAATTTTCATTTCATTAACACAGATACAGTACTTTCAACTGTTTTGCTATTCAGTATTTTAGTATTTTTAATTCTCATTTTGAGAGTTGAATGAAAAAAAAAAAATTGCAGGTAGCTGGTTGAAGCACAGACATATTTCTCTATCAGTGTTTTATTTTGAAACTTCTTCCCAAAAGAGGACAAATATATTCCAGAAATATTTCAGTCCCCATGTTTATGAAGACTGAGAACATGAGAGAGATATTGACAGTTGGCCTTCCAGCCAGTAAGCTGTTGGCTCATGTCCAGCTTCTCGTCCAACCAGGACCCCCAGGTATTTCTGCACAGGGCATTTTCATAAATATCACTGGCAAAAAAATACCAGAACTCAAACACTACTTGCTTAAATCATGATCAACTCATTATATTAAAGGGAAAAAAAAACCCACAAAAAACAACCAATAACAAACTCTGCTGAAAGTGGTGAAAAATGAAATACAAAGATACACTTACATGAAAACTCTCCATCTTTCTAAAAGACCAGATTTTATTTTCAAAAGATCTGAGATCCATTGTCTCTTTCTGATTAGTCAATTCTTGAAATCTTAAAAGCTTTCTATAATTTCTAGTATGCAAAAAAAAATTGTGCTTTGGAGCCTAATGGGTGAGACCTTACTGAAAGAAGAGATGTCAGCTTCTGTTTTGTCGAAGGATATGTAAGACCAAATGTATAAGCAGAAAATGTGCAATACCTGCATACTGCTTTGCAAATACAGTAGCTCAAAAATGTTAGTAAATTAGGATATATACTTAAAATGCTTGCAAAAATATTTTTAAAATAACTTGAAAACACTTTTTTGTCATATTTTGGAATAAGGCACTCTTAGTAGTTTGTGGATTGCAGCTGGGTTCTTTTGAACTTTTAAATTCTTAAGTGAACTTTGAGACTGCATTTACTTGAGTCACTTAACCACTTACAAATAATCAGTGGCTTCCAGTAAATACCATGAACGTGAAACCAAATCAAGACGCAAAGTGGCAATGTTACTGTTGAGAACATATCTATTTGACAACATTGTGTATCTTCTTAATTCCTCCTAGATTTTATTAGCTCAAGTAAATTACTGTGCTAACAAGGCTATACGGTTGTTAGTATGGAACTGGCCAACTTAAACTGTAGGCCAAAGAGCAGAAGTCCAACTGGAACATCACGAATCCCAGATCTTTTCCAGTGAAGAAGAAGATCCCTGAAAAACACTACTGCCAACCACCTTGTTTTGTATAGTTACCCTGCAAAGCTCCACATTAAAGTCTATGAACACCCAGAGTCCATACATAGACACAGATGCCTGATGGCATCCATCTATAGGAGATCAGTGTATTTTTCTGATAGATAGATAAATAAATAAATAAACTAATGTAATGACAATAAATAATTATATGCACTCTTCATCTTGAAATTAAGAGGAGACCAAGACTTAATCATGCCCTCATAAAAGTACTTTCCTTCCTTTGGAAAAGAGATGCTATCTATGGCTGGAAATAAAATAGTAGCCTTTGAGTTTTGTAAGATAGAAAGTTTTGTAGACTGATACTGATTGTCTAAAGACTACTGAAAAGCATATAATAAAAATGGGAATTAAAGTAATCAAGGACAAGTCTATTACGAAGACGTATTTCAAACGATAACAGGGGATGATAAGCCCCAGAACTATAAATTAACATTTTCATAGACAATCATCATAAGATTTTTGTATGCTTTGTTTCATCAAAATATCTCCATTTAACCAACTGTTTTATGGCTCCAGGAAATTTAATGTTAAAATTAGAATAAGCTGAAAAGTCAAAGTATTCAAATAGAATTGTAGCACCATGTAGATTCAAATCTACAGTCCCAGTTTTTCAATGACTGTGCAATTACTACTTTCCATTATGCTAATCACTGATGGAGTAGGTACAAACTCAGTGGACTAAGAAGTATATCACCCTCCCCTGTTTTTATGTACTTTTCCATTGAAACAGTAAGGAGACTGGAAAACAAACGGTACAAGATTACAGTATTTAGTCTGTGACTATATATGTAACTTGCTTATTTTAAACAAAAAACCTACATTTAGCTTATCACTGACTTCACCTTGGAACAACAATGACTAATCAGAAAATAATTGCAAAAAATTAAGTCATAGGCTGGGCAATGATACAAGTAGAGTTTTATTAATGAAAGAATACAGTAGCATTGACCAACTTACTTCATTCTTCCCAGATTAAACTATGCTGAGATAGTAAACTTACCTTCTGTGTTGGAAATGGGAGTACTGTCACATTTACTTTCACACTGTTGCATTGATGGAGGTCTGTGTGTTTCCGAACACTCACTGGATGCTTGTCCAGTATACGAGAGACACTGTACTGTTCGCATCTGTTGCCCAAGACCACACTGTGCAGAACACTGAAGATAAAATATACACAAAAGTAAAACGACTTGGATCCCTTTTTTAAATATAAAACAAGATAAATGAAAGTAATCAGGAACAGTACACATACACAAAGTTTTAAAAAGTCATCTGGAGAGATTTGGTCAATACAGAAAACAATTTTTATAAAATACTTAGAATTTTTCTATTTAACAAAATAAGCAGGTATGTCTCTCAAAGAAAATAAAAAAATCAGCTTACAAAACAGGTCAGAGTTGAGGAAGGAATACATAGTATACGTTATTTCACATATCACATTGGAACTTAATTGTATATTTTCAAGAGAGCAAGTGGTTACTTTAGAACAAAAAGAAATAAAATAAAGGACAACAAGAATTCAAATCTGCTAAAGGACTTTTTTAAGTACAAAGACAAGTATCTTTCAAATAGAAATACTTTGTGGTTTCAATACTTTTTAAATTTTGATAATTAAACAGTCTTGTTCCAAGACTTACAAAAATGTATGAAAAATAAGTGTCTGGACAAGCAGCATGAAAGAAAATATGGACTGCAAATTAATTCAACTGTAATAAGAAAAATGACTGTCCCCTGGTTAGTTAGGCTAAATTATTTTCATTACTGGCTTTTGTTCATTTATTTCAGAGAAGAAACTTAGAGAATACCAACTTATTATTTAATAGGTCATTGATCATAAGTAAGATGCAAAAAGAAAAAAACTTCGTCCTGTTTAGAAACACCATATAATTGGCAGCACAATTCAGTCTGAGCTGTAACAACCTATACCTTCAATAATTAAGCATATTTTATGTAAAATCATAAAGCTTTTTTTTTTTTGCCTGCTCTATATCTTTCTGTACACAATATATGAATATTGTAAATGGCTTTGTATTTCCATCTAATTTCTCAAACTAAATTCTATGTGTTTTAAAAATACAGAAGCTTGAAATATTGCTGTATCATAAACTCCATTTTCATAAAACGGTAGTAAGAACTGGTTTATTTATAAAAAACACATACAAAAACTCATTCAGTATAAATTAATTATCTTTTATAGTTCAGCAAACTGCTACCTGGCATCATATTTCAATCTGAGACAAACAGGAAAAGTTTTTACTTCAGTCATGGAAACTACTTCTTATTCATTTTCAGAAACATCTTTACCCTTAGAAGGTGATAGACTAATGCATAACGTAGCAGATTAATGGCAATAAAAATCTGTATGGAGTATCTTACCTGTCCCCAATCTCCAGTAACCCAGCGAGGAGGAGGACATCGACCCAAACTACAGCGGATGCGGACTGGAGGTTTGCTCTCCTCTTGGCATTGAGCAGCTGGAAAAGTTTTTAAAAGATCGCTGCTTTTGCACAGAACAATTCGATGTTTAAATCCGGGGCCACATTTTGGTGTGCACTGGAAAAATATTGGTATAAACATAAAATGAATATTCCAGTAAAATGTCAGTGTATGTGTCAGAAATGTTATTAAGGAAAAATAGTAGAATATATTTATGTTCGTACAACTTAACTGTTATTTTCTCAAGATGGTAGTTTTCAAATGCTTAGAAACAAACAAGCTGGGTGATGACTGCTGTATAAAGTTAAAGCTCTTGTATGTTATAACTTGATAAAAGTAGATTTCCTTTTTCATTTATGCAACTATATTACTAGTTGATTCATATATGAAAATGTTTAGGTTAGTTTTAAGAGAAGCTTTGCTGCAAAGTAAGCAGGTTTGCCTCAAGCAATGTTATCAGACAAACTTGAGTAAAACTCCCTGTTCCTTTTTTTTTTTTTTTTTAACACAAATTTTGTGTACCCTGAATACATCTCTGCTAGAAACCTAACAAAAGGCTGAGAAGGAAAATCTGTACCTCTGGCTGAAATGTAGAAAGAATTAAATAATTTATACTAAGTAGAGAGTAAAAGTGAATGATAATGAATATGTCAGATCTTTTGCATCATAATCATGATTTGATGGTTCTGGTCCAAATTCCATGGAATACTGCATTTATTTTTTCCCAGAAATATTCATGAAATATAAAAACATTAAAGCAGGGACTAGAAGAAAGCATCCTTTCCTAGCTGAAGAGGACTTCAACCGTAACTAGAGCAGTGTGCTTAAAAATCACTTGTATTCAGTTTTCTCTTCTTGGTTACTATGAATTCCATGAAACATCAACAGGAGAGAGAAGGCTGACACAAGCTGCCTCCCATTTCAAGGGCAGTCTACAGATTAGTGATTAGTACACTTAGTGAAAACAACAGAGAGACAGATAGACTTGAAACTTGTTAAGAGTTGCACAGAACTGTGCTCTGAGTGTCACATTCTAAAACTTGAAATACCATAAAAATGCAAACAACCATTTAGCACAGCTGACTCTTAAAACAGCCTGGTAGCTACTGCTGTATCACATGTAGAACTCAGTTCATTAGACATGCTCATAGAATGCCTTCTAAATTGAGAATTGCCTCTGGAGAGGCCTACCATGTGAATCACTGTGTGGCTCTGGGAAGAGGTTGGCATGCAGTTCCTCCTGTGTGTCAAGACAGGCAAAAAGCAGAACTTCTGATAATCAGTAAAATAAATGTCAAAATCCAAAGTGTCTAAAGAGTTTCATAATCTCAAGAAAATGGTAGCAAACAAACAAAACTTTGAAAATCAGCGCTTCAATTTAGGTGCATCAATTTTCTAGACTTATTTGAAGTGCCTAAAAAGTTCTAATAAGTGAGACAGACTACATCCTATACCCAGAAATGAAAGTGAAGTAAGAGAACAGGTTGCCTACAATAATACTGAATCACGAAAAATAAAAAATATCAGTAAAATTAAGCACAGCTATATGTCTCCAAAGCAAGTGAAAGATAAAGTACCCATACAAAAACCAGAAAATACTGTACCCCACCACAGCAGGGTTGCAGAATTTCTGACTTGTGGAAGCCATGACTAACTGCAACACGAACGCAAAGAAAATGTTCTTGTCTCTGATACAGCTCTTCACAATAAATCCTTCTGTTCTGCAGCTTTATTAACTGGAAAAAAAACCAAAACAAAACCTAGAAGTAATTTACAGAGTGCAGATGAACTCTGTCAAAGCTCAACTACTGCAAAGTGTGACTATAACAGCAAAACTGATGTTACTCAAGAATCACAGAATATCCTCATTTGGAAGGAACTTCCAAGGATCATCATCCTCAACTCCTGTGTCCACAGAGGACCACCCAAAATTCAAACCCTGTGCCTGACAGCACTGTCCAAACATTTATTGAACTCCAGCAGCCTGGGGCTGTGCCCTGTGCAGCCTGTTCCAGGCCTGACTGCCCTCTGGTGCAAACCCTGGCCCAACCCCCCACCTCCCCTGGCACAGCTCCATGCCGTTCCCTCAGGCCCTGTCGCTGTCACACAGAGCAGAGCTCAGCGCTGCCCTCCGCTCCCTGTCAGGAGCTGCCCTGTGAGGCAGCCATCAGGCTTCCCCTCAGCTCCTCTGCTCTGCGCTGAGCACCCAGGGGCCTCAGCCACTCCTTTTCCTCCGGAATGTTCACCACCTTCATAGCACTACATGGGCACTCTTGAGTACCTTTACGTCCTCCGCCCAACTCACACAGTGCTGGAGGTGAGGCCGCACAGCACACATCAGAGGGGCCCCTCTCCTTGCCACTGGCACTGCTGGGCCTGGTGCACCTCAGGGCACGGTTGGCCCTTTGGAGGCCAGGCACATGTTAACTTGCCATCAGCCAGAGCTCCAGATCACTCTCTGTGGGGCTGCCCTCCAGCCTCTCATCCCCACAGTCTGAACATACAAGCAGGGTTGCTCTTCCCCCAGCACAGAATCCAGCACTTGCTCTTCTTGAACTCAGTGTGATTACTGACTGCCCAGCCTTCAAATTGGTCAAGATCTCTCTGTAAGTTCTCTCCACTGAGGGAATCAACAGATTCTCCTAATTTAGTGTCATCTGCAAACTTACTTAGTATGCATTTCAACCCCATTCTAGATCATTCACAGAAACATTGAAGAGAACTAAAATTGAGCCCTGCAGAACTGCACTAGTGCCTGGCTGCCAGACTGATACATAACTTCATTTACTAGAACCATTTGAGTCTGACCTACAACCAGTTGTTAACCCATGGTTTTGTCCAACTCTATGGAGAACATATTCACTAGTAGGATACTATGAAAAACAACACTGAAAGCTTTGCTGAAGTCCAAAAAGATTACCTCAATTAGCTTTTCCTCAAAAATAAATAAATAAATAAATAAATAAAATCAGACATAGCATTTTCACTGTTCTGACAAAAAAAAATCTAAGAAATATGTGTGTATCAAATACACATGTGTATATATATTTACGTGTATATTATATACAGTTTTAAATATGTTATATTTCTGGGAACAGTGAATAGAAAAAAAAATCTCATTATATTGGAATGGTATCATCAGTCAAGACACTTTGCCAAGCTACATCAGGGAAAATTTATATGAGAAAGAAGTCAGTCCTTTTTCGCAATAGTGATAGAATACTGTTACAGCAAACTGCTTAGCAGAGCAAGAAGCTTTAGATAAGATTTTTTTTTTTTTTTTGTATAAAATTGTAACACATTTCTACTGTAATAAAGGCTGGATATGGAAGAATAAGTGTATAGTTCCGAGGACAATATTATAGCACAGGCAGCTACATGGGAATGCTTATACTTTAAAGTATTTAAAATAATTATGGCTCCATAATTAGTCAAATGGATACTATGACATGTTACTATTGAGATGATGATCAGAAATTCCAAACAGAAATGAAGTTCTATGGTAATGGTCACAAACAGCTTAAAAACTATTTATGCCACAGACATGATCTAAGAGTCTTCAACTGAACATCCTTTACTACTCATCCATTCTTTCCTTCTCATTCCTTCCTCTTCTGCTCCTTCCAAGTCTTATTCATTCCTAATGAATTGGAGTACACTGTGTCTTCTTAGATTGGGACAAGGGCCATTTAAAATCTTTTCTGCCTTACTTTTGATGCTCTATTTCTAGTGTGAAATGCTAGCAAAAAAAAATGGAGCAAAAATACAAATTCCTCACATAGAATAAGACACACATTAAAATTCACTGTGTCATTTCTAGGTTTCTTAAGTTCCTATTCTGAAGTGAGAAAAGTGCTGAGAGGAACTGCTTTCCCACAGGTTTCAGGTTACAAAGCTGACTTTTTTTTTTTTTTTTTTTTTTTTTTAAAGATGAATTGATTCAAGAAAAGATCTGTTATCTTAAAACTGTATAAAACTAGAGACAGATTTAGGAACATTCCATGAATAACTACCTGTTTTACAATATCAAATTAATCTATAAAACCTGGTACAAGGTCCAGAAGATTCAGGATATAAACAAAAGAATCTGTATGTAAAACTAATGAAAACAAAACAAACACAAAAATAACTGGAAGTTCACATTGTGCTTTAAAAGAATTTTCTTTACATAAAAGTTCACTAAAATGGCACTTCATTCATAATTTTTTATGGAATAAAACCAGATAGTTCAATAGTGTAGCAATTGAACATTTCACTGTTGTTCAAAGAAAAATAATGTACATAATGGGAAAAAATATCTACATAAGTAGTTTCTTAAGCTAAGAAGAACAAATACAGATTATATTATATAGGCATGAAATTCAGACAGCAAGGAGGAGGTATTACTACTTCCAAATGCAGCTTAATAATAATTAAGCCATTATTAACTAACAATTGATGGAGTCTCTATCCTTGAAGATATTCAAAAGTCAGCTGGACTTGGTCCTGGGCATGGTCTAGGTGATTCTCCTTGAGCAGGATGAGAGACCTGTAGACGTCCCTGCCAATCTTAACGACTCCATGATTCTGTGAACCACATTATCTATATTAAAAAAATATATATGGCGAGAACTCCTTTGTACTATTGGCATGGGCATTAGTACAAAGAGGGAGCCTAGTAGCCTTCCACTCTGTGCTTTGAATTTTCAAAGGTTGCAACAATTTTTTGAGATAAAAGCATGTGTGCATAGGTAAGACCTGTGCAACCACAAGCACATTAACTTTCTTTATATTCAAGGATTTATAATTCATTTTGAATGAAAGTTTAAAGGCGAGCATGTATATGGAAAATGGGATATAATTAACCATGAATTTATCACTGGTATATCATTCCAGCTTACTCTAATAATCTGTCATTTTTTTTTAATAAAAAAAGTGTAACAGCTCTAACCTATCTGGGCTTCTGTAAAGAGGGAGTACAACTGGTAATCTTGAATGGAGCTTGAGAGATGCTACCTGAGAAGACCTTCCAGGATCAGGCATGGAACTCTCCTGATTCACATTTCTTCCCAGTCTACTTAATGATGATTACACAAAAGTAGTTTCTGCTGTTCAGTGTTACCCATGGTACTGAAATTAGCAGCCAGCACTGGTAACTGAATCAATCCTGGTGCTACAAGAGTAAGTCTAAAGAAGGAATTGCAAACTTTGAAGACAAAAATAACTGAAGTGCAATTTGGCAGCACAAAGTGCAAGAGAATACATTTCCAAAAAAAAAAAACAAAAAACAAAAAACAAACCAAAAAAACAAGAATCACTATTTAACAGGTACATTATTAGCTGAAGTGAAAAAAGGAAGATAAAGATAGGGATATGACCATATGATAGAATATAAGATGGCTTTAAGTAATGAGTATGTTATGGCTGTGGAACAGAAAAAGTTTTTTAGAGTATACTGATATGCAGTAGGTAATAGTTATTTTCAGTAGAAGCAGGAAATAAAAGAACAAGGCACATCTGAAATCTCCCTAAGGGTAATATATACAAATGTACAGATACATAGACTTCAAACTAAAATAGGAAATCAGAATGTGATCAGGATTCATTTTTTTCTGATGAATAACAGCAGGAAAAGAAGGGTTCACTGCAGATAATAAAAGCAAATAGGTATAAACTAGCATGGAATGGAATTAGAGCACTTCTTGTAACTCTAAGAGTAAAATTCAGGAATACGTTTCTGGTAAGAAGTATAAAAGCCCCAAATAAACTAATTCTAAGACACAATTTAATTTATTTATGAAAGTAATTATTTAGCTGCATTTGACAGCAGGGATGTAGACAGGACATAGCTCATAAGTACTTGTAAGTGCATAGAGATAACTTGTAAGTACTCCAAAGGCTACTTCAAGATAAAAAGAGATGTGGCCTAAGAGTTCAGAAGAGCATGAATCTGAAAAAGCATAAAAGCATTTTTGCACTGTGATTTGCATATGTTACAGTCCCATTCAATTATATCACAGATCAATCTGTCTTCTTAAAGCTGCACATAGTAACATACTTCATATTTAATATTTGAATCAATGGCATGTCTTGGTTTATGCTGTAAGAAATATCACTGTTTTTAACAAAAGACACTCTTTCTTCAATTGAGGGAATAACAGTTTTCACATCTGTTTCTTAAGGCATGTTGTTAAGAAAGGTGATGCTTTACATCACCATGGTTACTTCACAAAAAAACTAGCAGTTTACTTTGGCTTTTGATATTGTAAATTCATCAGTTCTTCTCTTCAGCTATTCACCTGTTCGAGAACCAACAGAAATGCAGTTTTTTTTCTTTAAGAAAATCATGTGATAGCAAACACTTTTCAAATATTTTATATTTTGCTGCTTCCCTGTATTATACATTTTTTTCTATTATGATTAATAACAACTGGTCATAATTATCTGACAAGATAACAGAACTGAAAACCCAGAAAAAAAGAAAAAAAAATTATGAATGACAAAAACTGGTTCAATAATCCAAGTGAATCAAATTTTGAATTTTTTGTTAATACTTCATGTGGTGAGCAGCAGTGAGTAGGAAATGTACCAATATTCATTGATTAGAACTCTTGTCTTATAGAGCTAAAATAGCAAAATTTCCTTACTTCTGACCAGTCCAAAGCGACCCATTGTGGGGGACAGGACTGATTGTTACAGGGCTCTTTCTCAATAGGCCGGTGTGTTAAACAGTTGGTATTGTCCAGTGTCTCTTCCTCAGAAGGTCCAATCTTTCTGATACAGAGAACTGTTCGTGAACGCACTCCTCCATCACAGGTCTTACTGCATTCTGACCAATCTCCTATAAACCATCTGAATAGAAAAAGTTAGGAAAGTCTATTACTGCATGTCAGAAATTGAGTAGATTATTGCACAAATCCAGAATACAAATAGTTTTGTCTATTATCACTGTTAACAGTACACCTACTACTTATAGTGAAATTAAGTAGAAGCTTACAAGCTTTTTAATTCATGCCTCACTGCAATCGTATCTTCCAGTAAACACTATTTATTTTTCTAGAGCTGCAATTTCCAACCTAGACTACAGTAGTTAGAAGGGAGCATTGGGCCTGACAAAACTTCAGTTATTTAAGTAGATTTCCACTGGAATTGCATGAAATTACCCATTTGAAAATGGTCTTCAATTGGAAATGTTTGTGAACTTCTGTTGCAGGTTAAAGAATATGTTATAAGCCAAGATACTTGCCTCTTATATATAATTGCAACAATTGATCTCAGAATTGGCCTGTCAGAGATTATTTTTCATCTGATTATGAATGTTATCACATGCTGCCAACATGCAAAAAATGTCAGAATTGGCAGTTACTATGGATGCTTGTGGAAGTGTGCTTGGAGCAGCATCATCAGATGTCATTGTCTGAAGCCTCATTCAAAAATATGTGTTGCCATCACCATTTTGTTTTACATAAATTATTCTATTACGAACATGGATCAACACAACTTTTTTTTTTTTTAATTTCTTTTTTTGCTGATTTTGAGGCAAGTCATAGATATGTCATATTCTGCTATTATTGCAGTGAAAGAGAATCCATTTCTGACTCTCTGCTAACAAACTAATGCTTTTACCATGGCAGGTATAACTAGAAGCTTTTTAGAGCTTTGGAGAGGCTATATGGTTAATTCTTAGCTGGCACTATGATTTGCTCACATGCATTCTCAGATACCTTCTATGTTTATATTCTATCATAATACAGTACTATTCAGTTTTTAAGGAAAAAAGCCTATGAAACAATCAGTAAGATCCAGAGATAGTCACCTGTATATTTTCTTAAAATCTGAAACTTTAGATGTTACCTACTTCAATGTGATCAAATGTAGTCTTCACTCCTGTTAGGAGCCTCCAATATAATCTAACTGGCATTCACTCAGGAGGAGGTACATAAGCTTTTTCATTACCATAGTTTTTGGTAATCACCAGAAGGAAACTGGAATTGTGTTAAATAAGAAAAGTATTTAACTACTTTGTTTAAGAAGTAAGCCTTACTGACAAATTTTTCAGCCTTTTTTTTTTTTTTTTTTTAAGTCAGCAGGGGAGGGGAATGTTAGAATAACTTTTAAAACTGTTTTTTAGATGTGACAATTTGTTAATTGCTAAGGATAAGGGATGGGATAGAGATGCATTTTGTAAAAAGGAACTGATCAAATGTTACAACTTCTGGAAAAGAATGTAACAGCTTTACTTCTGAATAGATACATGAGATAGGAGGAGTAAGTCTAGAAGACTGCCATCCTGCAACCCAAGCATGAGTTGATAGATTAGGAAGAAACTGGCTTCATGAATTTGAATGCATTGTAGTCTTGTTTCCTTCTTCCTACTGTCTTACATACTACAGTCATACAGTTTTTTAAAAGAGATTGCAGTATTTCTTCGCTATGTAATATCTGTGCTAGTCAGAATTAATTACTTTTATGACCAATTACAGTATACATACAGAATATCACCAGACTTAACCAGAGCTTGTAGAACACCACACTCCCATTTTTTCCATGTTTTTTAATTTCAAAAAGCAAGAAGGAAATGTTGCACATATGCTGAAATTATTTTCCAGTGCAAAACATCATGGTCATTCCTAAACCATATTTGTAGTAAGATTGAACTATCTTATAGATTTGTTCTTGCCAAATTTCCTTCTTGAACAAATGAGTTGTTGTGTTTTTAATTATTGCAATATATAGCAGACAGATAACCTTAAAACTAACCAAGCACCTAATCCTAAAGGCATACATTACTGTATGACACTAAAAATCACAAAGATAAATTTGCTTTGCAAAACTATTACAAGTAAATAGTTTGGTATACTAACCTGTTTCTCTGTTTACTGTTTTCCTTTTGAAGAAGACAAACCAAATTTTAATATAACACACCTAGAAATCTGGCAAACATTTACTACATCCTCCTCAGTGTGGGAAAGTTAACCTCTCACCTCAAAATTCTTCTGTCATGAGTGCCATAAGACTGGTCTCCAATTCTGTTCCCAGCACTATTCACCACACCTGACATTTTAATAAACTACTTCACTAGCATTTTTTACTTTTCTTTTACAGTATTGTCAAGTTCAACAAGTTTCACTTGTTGGACACTTGTTCAAACCTATGTTTCTCAGTCAAAGACCTCTTTGAGGTGAAAAAAATGATTCCAGAGGAACAAGAGGCCTTAACCAAAATCTAAAATAAAATATCCTGTCTAATAAGACTGAATCCTCATGCTAGATCAGAATTTTGTTCTACATTTGATCGACTGGATTTATTATATATTACAAAGGCTTTTCTATAAATGCAAGACAGATACATCTTAGTGATCATAAACTTACTCAGGTGGGCAAGGCTCAGTGTTGCAGGCTCTTTGGTTTTCTGGAGGCTTACTGTCAGGATCACAATAATTGTTTTGTACAACAGAGTTGTCATCCAACCTTTTACACACCACCTCTTGTTTCTGCACACCTTAGGATAAAATTAAACACCATTAATTAATCATTCTTACTGTTCTGCTTGTTGAGTAGAAGTATGTTTCACCTATTAATTATAATTCCCACTATCCCACTTGAGCAGGCTGAGTGCTTCTGGGATGTGAATTCCAACTGACTCAGTGTCCCCTGACCACAAAGAATTTTTCATTTTCTTTTAATTTTAGGCCACCTCATTGAGAGAGGATTTTAAATTGCTGTTGTTTTCTAAAACAAAGAGAATATATTTATAGATTTACTGACAGATTGTTTTTATTTGTGTACTGCAAAAAATCAGTTTTCCATCTACCCCTCCCTCATAGTAAAAGACACTCTGATTTCCAAAGAAAATATCACCAAATAGAATGTAGACACTGTTCAATGCAGAATTGTTGTCTATGGACTCTGGTTTAAAATAAAACAACAATCTGGGATACAGTGTTACATTTTCACACATGTCATCCTAGAAACATTTTCTTCATTAAAATAATGAAGTATTATTCATTCTGAAAGATGCAGTTTGTCTTGTGAATGCTCTTTTTATCTGGCACTCCCAGCTCCTCTCCCATCATGTTAACTATCAACACACAGTTCAGATTTCATTGTTATTTCCAAACCATAGTGACCTATAATTGCCAAGGCAGCAGTCATTACAAGATAACACTTCAAGCAGATTTTCCTATTTTTAGAAAACAGAATATAAGGAAAGACATTAAAGAACCACTGTCATATGACAACAGCACAGCTCCAAGTATTGTTGTAAACAGGTACACGGGGCTTTCTCTTTGTTTCTAGAACTAGTTGTGGACAACTGTGGATCTTCAATTTATATGCAGTTCTTAACACAGGTAGTTACAGTACTGAGATAACAGGATTGTAGCATGATACAAATAGAAAAAAAAGCCTTAAATCTTAAAACAGAAGCAATTACTTAACTTTTTCCAAAATCTGAAATACACACAAACAAACAGGGATTAAAAAATCCTGGCTTAAAATATCTTTCAACTTACGTTACAGTCCTCTATCTTCATTTTAAGACAAATGTTTCATAGAAGGCAGATATGCAGTAAAAAAAATAATTATATAAACATATTTTTCAGACAGTAAACAGTCAAATAAAAACATGGAAATTAGTTCTTTTTCTGATTTTAAACTAGTTAAACAACTTACCTTTCAATTGCTTTTTTTCTTATCCATTATGAATAAGAATCAAATCTTTGGTTCCTAAAATTAGACCTATAAGGAATTTTGTACTTACTTCCAACAGTGAGTCAAGCATAGCCTTGAGATGCTTGAAGTTCAGCCCATAAAGCATCCTGCTTGGCTATGAACAGAAATCTTCCAGTCTAAGCACACAGGCATTGTGTCTATGATGTTAGGACACATGGGATGTGAGACATATGTCTCTCTGACGTTACACACAAAATGGAAACCTCATTTTTCAAAACAGTCTTGAGGATGTTATTCATTTCCTCAAGAAGCTGCAGATCCGGCAGTATTAAATTTGAGCATACAGTATTTCTGTGAGGTGGTTAATTTAGTCACTCAGGGTGGCAAGACTGCAGTTTCAAAACAATAGGTTATTTCTAGTTTTTATTCAATTACAGACTAATGTGAAATACATAAACAATCTTCCAAGTATGACCTGCCTGTGCTATGTGAATGTCTTATCTGCTGATTACAGATTAAGTCTCTTTCTTTTCTTACTGACAGTGGTCCCATCAATCTTGAATCCCTGACATCACTGTGGCCATGAATGCCCATTAAAAAATATTCCCTTTCCCTGTCATTCCAGACACTCTGACTATTTTGTGGCATACTTTTCTGGAGATGTATTCCTAGCTGAAATAACTTCTGAAATAGGGAATTGCTATTTAATATAGAATTGCCATTGCATCCTGAAAAATAAATGTAGAAATTCTTATGTAACTACAGAGCCTTGTTAATTCAAATACTTTCAAGAGTCCGCAGGCTGGATCCTAAAACATGTAAAAATGGTCCTGAACAAATGTGTATATTCCAAGCAATCAGGAGATGGGTTAGATAGTATCACTCAGGATGACACTTCCTATAAGCAGCCTGTTTAGCAGGTGAGAACTTTGTGTATAAGCCCTCAAAATCATGTGCCATTTCACCTCACCTCACCTCAAAATCACTAATCATTACAGACACCAAAGAGACCTAATGCTGGAGTTACCACAGTCCATAAATTCCTACTGCAGGGAAAAGATACCTCCTTTTTGTTTACAGCCACACATAACCTTCACAAAGCAGGCATTCTAAATCAAGCTATAAATGTCTGACATCTCAAATTATCCACGATAAGCATCACAGTCATTTAAATAAAGGTTTATTTATTAAAATATAGTAATTTGAGATGTGCATCTTACAGGTAAACCAGGTACAACAAATCAGCTTCTCTCATTTTTCCTTCTTTCTACACATATCTGGATGCCACACCACTATACAATTGCAGGCACAGTGAAACAGTGCATAAAGCTGCCACTGTTTTCCAATTGCTTCTTACCGACACAAATTTATACAGGTAAGCTAAAACAAAAATACCATCTTCTGAAAGATTTCTATCTCCATTTTTCCATTACTTCTCAATTTATGAGTTGTACTAAAAAGTTAGTCCAGCTGGAGTTAAAAAATCATTAGCATGGGGGGCTCACTAGGCCTTCCCCACAGCTACTGATATTCAGATATTCATGAATAAAGTATCAAAGATATTAAAGATCCACTCAGCATTCTCAGCTGCTAACATTTTCATTGGAAGAAAGGCTTAAATTCAGTGCGATATTACACATTAAATAAACTTGGAACAAAGGAACATACAAGTAAAAGCAACACTCATCTTTATTTCTAGGAACCACTCGTTCATAAACTGATTAATCTCCAACTTAAAATTCTGGTAGTTTACTCTCTGAAATTCATACCTGTAACTACTACATACTACATTCATTAATTGCCAATTAACACTAATTTTTAAAGTAAAAACAGTATTTTAGTTTAAGTAACTATTCTGTTAATAGAATAAATTGTAGTCTCTGAAGTGGATACACCATTCCTTTGGCCAAGCTGTCACTCCTGTGCATCCATTCACACTTCAGTTCATTATGCCCACAATACAAATTATGCCCAGTATTCCATAGGAATTTTACTAGTGCCTTCTCCAATGATCATGAATACAACATGTGATATTAATTCCAATCTTTCCCATATGTCTCCTAGCACTCCTATCAAGCAAATTTCGTTAGAGCTTTCAATATTTTTATGCTACCATCAGAATAAGAGAAACTGAAGTTGGAAGTCATTACAGGTTCCTTAAGATGCATAGAAAGCTTAATGATTTTTGATCTTGTAGTTCACATTTTAAGAGCACTTCCCATCTACTGATCTTTTCTAATTTTTTATTATTCGTAACTAACAAGAAAAACCTTCCAAATTCTAGATGAATGAATCTACTACACTTACTTAGTCTAAAAAAGAAGTTATATATTACAATAAATCCAGCTGCTAAAGCATGACCTTTCACATCACACTTAACCTCTCTTCTCAACGATTTCTAGATCTTTAGTAACATTTTGCTTCAAAATTTCAAATCTGCTAGAATTTCAATTTTATGAGATTTTTCTACTTATATACACATACAGAAATATAGTAATAGATGATATTCTTCTCTCCTTTACTAATACTATGTAAAGACATACTAAATGTAGAAGGAAATAGAGAAAAAAAACTTTACGAGGGTAAAGATTTCTCCCTATAATTTCTCCATTAGGTCGATGTCAAATTTAAATATTTGAGAACCCATGAGAAGATGACTCACTTTAAATTCTACTATGTAAAGATTGTAGCTTTAAGATATAGCCAACAGAGGAGAATAATTAAAATCAGATTTGAAAACCTGAGTAGTAGGATTATTTATTTTGAAATTTTCTACTCAAATTTTACTATAAGAAGGAATAAGATTTCCATTTTTCTAGACCATAACAGGTCTAGAACAGGTATTGTTAATAAACTGGCACTGCTAGCTGGCAAAGAATTTAAGTTCAACTTTGATGGAGCTTACCCCTTTTTTTTAACAAAAAAGCCTTAGCTCTCTTGGTGGCTAATCCAATAGCACTTTGAAGAAAACAACAGCATTTTCTTCAAATAAAATTGCTTAAAAATTAGAATTACATACTTTAGAATCAGGCATTTTAATGAAGCATACAATTCTATCAAAAATATTTAATAAATTGCATAGATATTAATGTTATGACTTCACTAGATTTCCTACTGGCACATTTCCTTCCAGCTCTGGCTAAAAACTGTCAGCCTCAATAAACTTATTTCTGAGGACTGTGGAACTAGAAGGTATTCTGAAGCACTATGAAGACAAAGTATCATTACGCTTAGCTTAAAAAAAAAGGAAAGAAAAATGCAACCAGACAAGTTATTTATTGAACAGTGGTCAGGTATCGTATCACTCATAAGCATTTATCACTATTCACTCATGTGGTGAAGAACCATTAATCAATGCCAGCCAAATATTCAGTTTTTAAATATTCTGCATCATCTTACCACATAGTATGTGATCTGCGATACCAGAAACACACGTGTAGATTAAGGAAACATTACATCACTGCTGTCTAATTAGTATTATTTAAAATAATATTTCAGAAACACAATTCAGATTCTAAATTCAAAACAACAAAAAGAAATGGGAAAGCTGGAAATGCAATTTTAGCCAGACAACAGCTACAACGTAGTTAAGCCCCGTAGACCTTGAAAAAATATTTTTAAATTACTTGCTTTAGGAATATATGGTCTCTCTTCAAATAATCTAAAAAGCATAGCTAAACAAGTTCATTTAAACTCCTGGAGGAATAATTACAAGGAGTTCGACAGAAACACTCTACTTTCAAATATACAGATTTATGATTTATAATAAAAGACATAAAATGTCCTCATGACTGGTCAATGCAATTCTAATAGAAAACAAAACTTCAG